CACTTCAGCTAGAGTGGGAGGTGCAGCAATGTCTGATCAGAAGCAGCAATCAGAGCACAATATTTTGGAAGACAGGGTCCTTTTTGCCCACCTAGGCGCTGTAACCTGTGTGTTAGCTGCTCCAGGAGTAGGTGCACACCAGCCTGTCGAGGGGCTGGGGCTGGGAGACGGGTGGCTGCTGCCGTGCTGAGAGCTGCAGTTTCCCCTCCAAGCCTCCCTCTGGAAGTTGCAAGCCTCGGACAGACTCCAGAGCTACAGCAGACAAGGTGCTGCCGGTGCCGTTGGTGCCCAGGTGGGAGACAGGTTCCTGGGGCTTCCTGCTCGGCCACCTTCCCAGAGTCCTCTCCAATTGATTTTTGATATTGATCTTACAGCTAGACAATTTGCTGAACTTAAAAATTTGATGCACTTTATCTTATTGAGCAGTTTTAGGTTTGCAGGAAAATTGAGTGGAGGGTTCCTGTTTACCAGCCCCCTTCTACCTCCTACTCCATCTTGCATAAATTGGTTCGTTATTTTACAATTGATGAACCGATATTAATATGTTATCATCCAAAGTCCACAGTTTACATTCAGGGTCACCCTTTGTGTTGTATATTCCATGGGTTGTGACACATCTATAACACGTGTGTTCATCATTATCCTATAGAAATGTTTCACTGCTCCAAAAATTTTCTGTGCCCATTCACCCTTCCCCTTACCTCCAGTCCCTGAGAATCACTATAGTTTGCCTTTTCCAGAATTTCACAGTTGATTTGCTTCTTTCACTTAGTGATATCACTTTTTCTTTTTCTTTCTTTAAATGTTTTTATTTTTGTGAGCACGTGAGCGAGGGAGGGGCAGAGAGAGAGAGGAAGACACAGAATCGGAAGCAGGCTCCAGGCTCTGAGCTGTCAGCACAGATCCGGATGTGGGGCCCAAATTCATGAAATGTGAGATCACGACCTGAGCCGAAGTTGGACACTTAACTGACTGAGCCACCTAGGCGCCCCTCTTCCCTATCTCTTCATGGCTTGGATGGGTGGCTCAGTCAGTTAAGCATCAGACTTGCAGTTTGTGGGTTTGTGGGTTCAAGCCCTACATCGGCTCTGAGCTGTCAGCACAGAGCCTGAAGCCTGTGAGATCATGACCTGAGCTGAAGTCTGATGGCTCCTTTGTCAATGATCACTTGATTAAATTTATGTGGGTCTATTTCTGGGCTCTCTATTTTATTCCATTGGTCTCTTTGTTTATTCTTTCTCCAACACCACACTGTCTGATCACTGTAGGTATTATAGCAAGTCTTGAAGTTGAGTGGTGTTGGTCATTGACTTTATTCTCCTTCTGGAATTGTATTGGCTGTGCTGGGTCTTTTGTCATTCTGTATAAACTTTGGAATCTGTCAGTATTCCAAAGTAACTTGCTGGGATTTTGATTGGGATTGCATTGAATCTATAGATGAAGTTGGGAAAATCTTTGATTTCTTTCATTGGATTTTTGTACCTTTTCTGTTACAGATATTGTACATATTTTGAAAGATATATACCTAAGTATTTAATTTTTGTTCTTGATGCTAACATAATTGATCTTGTGATTTTAACTTCAGAATTGCTCATTGCTGGTAGAATTGTTTTTTGTCTATTAACCTTGTATCCTGCAAGCTTGCTATGATTGTTTAATAGTTCCAGAAGTGTTTGGGTTGATTCTTTGGGATTTTCTATATAGATATTGGGATTTTCTACATAGATAATCATGTCATCTGTGAACAGGCACAGTTTTATTTCTTCCACACCAATCTATATACCATTTCTTTTCTTGTCCTGTTACATTGGCTAGGACTTCCAATACGATGTTGAAGAGGAGTGGTGAGAGGGTACATCCATGTTCTTCATCTCAGCAGGCAGGCATCATTTCTCACCATTAAGTGTGATGTTAGTTGTAGGTTTTTTGTAGCTGCTCTTTATCAAGTTGAGGAACTTCTTTCTATTCCTAGTTTGCTGAAAATTTTTAATCATAAATAGGTGTTAGATTTTGTCAAATACTTCAGCTATTGATGTGATCATGTGATTTTTCTTTTTCAGCCTACTTGATTTGATAGAGTATATTAGTTGATTTTTGAATGTAGAATCAGCTTTATGTACCTGGGATATTGTTTGTGGTATATAATTCTTTCATGTTATTGTATTTGATTTGCTAATACTCTTGAGGATCTTTGTGTCTGTGCTGCTGGGAGATAATGTTCTATAGTTTCCCTTTCTTGTGATGTCTTCGCTTTTGGTATTCAGGTGATGCTGTCCTCCTAGAATGAATCAGGCAGTGTTCCCTCTGTGTCTATTGTCTGGAGAACACTGTAGACACTTTGTATAATTCCTTCCTTAAATGTTTAGTAGAAATCACCAGTGAATCCATATGGGCAACTCTTTATATTCTAATTAATTGTGGCTTCTTTTGATTCTTCTCCCTAGACCGTCCTATCACTTGCAAATGATATATTTTTCTTTGTCTTACTGCCTTGGCTAAGCCTGCATAGCAGAAGTGGCAGTAGTGGCATCTTTGTAGTATTTCCTGATGTTAAAGGGGGCTGCTTCCAATATTTCTCCATTTAGAATGATTTTTGCTGTAGGTTTTTGTTAATTACCCCTTTTCAGGTTAACAAAGTTCTTTTTTTTGTAATTAAAAAAAATTTTTTTTATGTTTATTTTTGAGAGAGAGACTGACTTCAAGCAGAAGAGAGGCAGAGAGAGGGGGAGACATAGAATCCAAAGCAGGCTTCAGGCTCTGAGCTGTCAACACAGAGGCTGACGTGGGGCTTGAACTCACAAACCGTGAGATCATGACCTGAGCCGAAGTCGGATGCTTAACTGACTGAGCTACCCAGGTGCCCCTTTTGATTTTTTTTTAAAATGTTTGTTTTGGGGAGAGAGAGAGAGCGAGCGAGCATGAGTGCGAGCGGGGGAGGGGCAGAGAGAGAGGGAGACACAGAATCCAAAGCAGGTTCTAGGCTCTGAGCTGTGATCACAGAGCCCGACGTGGGGCTCCAACTCATGAACCATGAGATAATGACCTGAGCTGAAGTGGAATGCTTAACCAAGTGAGCTACCCAGGCGCTCCTGACAAAGTTCTTTTTTTTTTTTTTTTTTATTTTTTTTAACGTTTATTCATTTTTGAGACAGAGACAGAGCATGAATGGGGGAAGGTCAGAGAGAGAGGGAGACACAGAATCTGAAACAGGCTCCAGGCTCTGAGCTGTCAGCACAGAGCCTGACGCGGGGCTCGAACTCACGGACCGCGAGATCATGACCTGAGCCGAAGTCGGACGCCCAACCGACTGAGCCACCCAGGCGCCCCGACAAAGTTCTTTTTAATGCTACTTTGTTAAGTTGTTTTTTCCCTCTGTTGTGAATGGGTGTTGTATTTTAGGAAATTTTTCTATCTCTGTAAGGAGGATAAACATAATCTCTTTTATATGTTAATGTCATAGATGATTACTATAGATCTTCCTAGTGTTAAAACCCCTCTGTTTCTGGAGGTGTTTTATGCCAACTTAGTATTGCATATGTCCAGCTTAGTATTGGCATATATCTATGCTGTATTCAGTTTCTTAATATTTAGATTTGAATTTTGCATCTATGTTCATTAATCAATAGCCTGAAAATTGTGCTTTGCTACATCACTTTTATATGGTCTGTTGGATTTGCAGAATAACAAGGGGTGTTCCTTCCTCCTGTGTTTTCTGAAAGAGTTTGTGTAACATTAGAATGATCATTGTTGGTGAGTTAGTAGAACTTACCTTTTAAACTTTTAGGCCTGGACTTCTTTTTCTGGGCAAAGTGAGTCCTGTCTTTAGTAGTTGTAGAACCATCCAGGCTCCCTCTCTGCTTGAGGTGGTTTTGAGAAGCTACTTTTCCAGTAGTTTGTGCGTTCTGAGTTTTCCCATATGCTGCCGAAAGTTTTTTTTATTTTCTCTTAACCTTTTAGTTTCCACTATACTTGTGGTCACATCACTCTTTGGTTGCTAGTGTTACTTATTTGTCCCTTCATCCTTTGTTATCTCTTGCTGAGTCACAACATTACTAAGACTTGGTGGCTTCAAACAGCACATGTCTGTTGCCTCACAGTTTCTGTGGGTCGGGAACCTAGGCACAGCCTAACCAGGTGCTCTGCTGCAGGTTCCATGGGGCTGCAGCCAGGATGCCGGCCAGGACTGGGATCTCATCTGAGCAGCGGCTAAGGGAGGGTCTTATGGCATTCATGTAGTTGCTGGCAGGTTTCCATTCCTTGCAAAATATCAGCCTCAGGGTCTCATTTCTTCTCTGACTGTTGTCTGGAGCCACCCTCAGTTTCTTGCCATCTGGGCACCTCTGTGGTGTCTCATGAAGCTGGGAAGGGCCAGGGAGTCTGCTTGCGAGACAGAAGCTAGACTTCCCTGTGCCCGAGTCATGGAAGTGATGTCCCATCAGCTTTGCTGCAATTTGTTGTTTAGGAACAAGTCTTAGGTGCCGTCCACACCCAAGGGATGGGATGACATGGGTGTGGGTACCTGTTGGTGAAGGTCACGGGGGTCACCTTGGAGGGTGTATTTGTATCTTCACTCTGGCCTTTTCAGGGAACCAGTTATTCTCCTAAAGTACCAGTTAGACTTAGGATGGATCTCTGCCCTCAAAATCTATTATTTTCTAATTTTTCATTTCTTTTTAAAATTTCGTTCTGTATATTTACTGAAACTCGCGTCAGTGACATTGCGGTGAAACAGAGTTTGTCTGTATCTGTAGCTGCTTGTAATACAGGTTCATCGCTGACGTTTTACTTCCCTCCTGCATTTCTTTTCACTGTCAGTTTGCTTCTCCCTCCTCTGCCCTCTCATCCCTTCTTCTCTGACCTTTGCATTTCTTCTCTCAATTGTTGGTTTATTTTTACCTATTTTTGTAAGGGAGACCTTGCTCATTCTTCTGAGGCCGTGGGACGGGTGAACTCCGGGTGGGTGGATTGCTCTGTTGGTTAGCCATCCTTCTGTGTTCCAGGGAGACGCTTGAGCAGGGCCTGGAGTTCTGTCGGCAGAAGCAGCGGGCTGACGGCTCCTGGGAAGGGTAAGTGAGCTCCCGGTTGTGTGCGTGGGATGGGAGGGCTCTGCTCTTTTGTGCTCCTGTGATGCTCAGTCGTGTGCTCCGGGAGTGAGCTGCCAGCAACAGATTTCTGGTGGACCTTGTTCAGTTTTGAACACTTGGCCTCACCCTGGCGGTGCTTGCTCAGCTCACTGTTAAAGCGGTTTGGCCAAGTGTGTTGGAAGGGCTCGGTGGCCTGGTGCCTGGTTTGTCGTGTCTGTGATTACTCCTTCCTCTGGGTGTGCATCAGTTCTTACACTACTTTGTGGCGGCAGCAGCTGGAGCCATCTTGTGAGGGCCGGGGATGGCAGGTGTGTTTTCCTTGGCCTGAGAGCCTGGGGGCACTAGTCAGTTGCTTGCTGAAGGCTATGTGGATGGGTTTCTTGCAAATCACCCCAGCTTCCTTGATTCCGTGATGGAGGGTGTTCCCAAAGTCCGGCAGAATTCCTGTTGTTTTACACGCCTTCTGAATGAGACTGCAAGGCTGAGGTCCTCCTCTGTCCCCCCTCCAGCTCCTGGGGAGTTTGCTTCACCTACGGCACCTGGTTTGGGCTGGAGGCTTTCGCCTGCATGGGGCAGACTTATAGCAGCGGGTGAGTATGGGCATTTGTCCCTGCTGGAGTGAGGCTCTTTTCAGCAGGACATTCTGTTGGGGGTGTCTTTTCCTTTGAAGTATTTTGTATTTTTCTAAGCTCAGAGCCAACAGCACCCTTTCTAGTAAAGACACTGCTCTGGGAAGTTTCTGGCTTGTGTGTGGAGGGGCACCTTGGGCTTGCGTGGCTCCCACGCCCAGTGGGATACCCTCTGGGCTGGGCTGAGAGAAGGGAGGCGGCTCAGATCTGAGCTATCTCCAGCCACCTCACCCAGCTCTGTTTTGTGGTGTTTCGGGGTGGTCATACCTGTGCGGCATCTGCAGCCGGAGAGCTTTTCAGTTTATCTTCCCAGCATACCTAGGAGGCAGGTGTCTCTGTGCCCTTCACTTCACATAGTGGGTGGGACTGGGGTGCAGACTGCCTCCCTCCCCCCCACCATTCTCCTCCCCTTACCCCTGGGGAGGCCTGGCCAGTGGGCCATCGGGCCTGGGACCTCCCTAGAGTGACAGCATCTCCTGTCTTGCTGGTCTCTACAGGGCTGTGTGTGCGGCGGTCTCCCAGGCCTGTGACTTCCTGCTATCCCAGCAGATGGTGGATGGGGGCTGGGGGGAAGACTTTGAGTCCTGCGAGCAGCGGCGTTACATACAGAGTGCCACGTCCCAGATCCACAACACATCCTGGGCCTTGATGGGGCTCATGGCCGTCAGGTGGGGGCTGCGAGACCCATCCCCAAGTAGTGGGGTTGGGAGGAGTGGGGTGTGGGTGGCTGACCTGTGAGCAGGCGTGGGAGGAGGTGAGGCCTGCAGGGCGAGGGCATATGTCTGGCCAAACACAGGGCTTCCTGCAGAGAGGCTTGCCTTTTAGAAGACCACCCAAAGTGACAAGGGAGACAAGAGGCCTGTGTCAACAGCGTAGGGTGAGGCAAGTCCCTGTAGCTGCTGTCTTTGGGCCCTCCTACCTCCATGTGTGTGTGTAAGCACAGACACATGCACGTGTGTGCACGTGTGCATACATGCACACAGACACACGTAGTGTCCCAGCCTGTGCGGTCTTGTTGGTTTTGAGGCCATTTGGGGAATCTTCCTAAAACTCCCTCAGAATTAGGCCAGGTCAGTGTGAGCAGGAGCAGCAGTCTGTGGGGGGACCTCTAGGGAAGGGGGCTCAGGGACCAACCCCCAATCTGCCTACCACAGCCAAGCTCAGTCCTGCACCCTCCGTCCTGGGGTGTCATCCCTTTCCATGATGAGTGAGGATTAGCACATGTGGCATGTGCGGCCCTCAGAGGGTCCTGAGGACCAGTGGGCCGGACAGCCATGAGGTTTCACCTCATTCTGTCCAAAAGAGCAGCGTCTTGTGGCAGGGCCCTGGGGCAGGTCTGGAGCAGGCGGGGCCATCAGCCAGCCACAAGTGTGGGGCTGCCCACCTGGCCGGCTCACCTCCACATTGGCTGCCTTTTGCATTTTTCTGGGATTCTGGGTAGAAAACGTGCAGCGGTAGCCTGCGGCGTGCTAACTCTCATGGTGGGTTCTGGTTCCTTGTGTGCGTCAGAGCCAGTTCAGTCATCACGCAGGATTTCCCATCTGCCTTGTGCCAGTAGCACAAGGGTGCGGGTGCAGGTTGGGCTGTAGCCAGAGGCGCTTCCCCCAGAGAGTGGTGGCAGGTGCACTCAGTGCCTCCTCTTCCCCCCCAGGCATCCCTGCGTAGAGGCCCTGGAGAAGGGAGTCCGGTGTCTGCTTGGAAAACAGCTCCCCAATGGCGACTGGCCCCAGGTATGCTGAGGAGGTCTGAAGAGCTCGAGGCCCAGCACCGACCTCGATTTGCACGAATGTTTTCACAGCCCTACGCTGTCCCTGTGTCCCTGGTGACCTCCTCGCGGGCGGGGTCTCAGCTTTGGGGATTTGAGATTAGTGAACACCGCCAATGAGAGCCTGTGGTGGAAGCAGGTCTACAATGAAGCCCTGGCTCGGAGGCAGGGCTGGTGGTGCTGGGGCAGAGGACGCTGGATAGCCTCAGGCTCTGCCTCAGCATGGAGTGCAGGAGCACCTTCACCTGTCTCCTCTGATGTGGGGTCACGAGGTCACACGAGGCTGACCCCCTCCCTTGGATGAGTCCAGGGTTGACAGCTGTGAGGGGCTGGTAACTCAGGCCAGAGGGTTTGCTGCAGGGTGAGGGGTCCAGAGCTAGGGTGGTAGCAGGGGGATGGCCTGCAGAGGTTCCCTCGGAAACCCCCCTGCCTCTGGGAGCCTGCCAGCTCTCTGGCTAGGGTCTCTGTTCAGGGAGCCCCTTAGCCACCTGCTAGAGCCTTTGTGTTTATTTCTCTGTGTTCTTTCAGGAGAACATCCCTGGCGTCTTCAACAAGTCGTGTGTCATCAACTACAGCAGCTACAGGAACATCTTCCCCATCTGGGCCCTTGGCCGCTTCTCCCACCTGTACCCTGAGAGTGCCCTTGCTGGCCGCCCTTGAGGGTGCCTGGCAGGCAGGTGGGTGGTGGGCACTGTCGTCCGGGAGGGCGGGGCAGGAAGGGGGCATCATCTCCGGTGAGCTGCAGGATCCCCTGCCCAGGGGTCCAGTGCCCCTCACAAACCCCTTCCCCGGGGTGGGACCAGGCCTGGGGCAGGGGTGGGGCCGGTGGCTTTAGGTACTTGATTTTCAGGGTAGGTTTAGTTCTTAGAAGAGCTCGTGGAGCTCAGGTGAGGAAAGGAACAAGATGAGCCATGATCCTGGCACAGTGTGTTCTGCAGCACCTAGCCAGGGTGTGCGGCCTTGCTTTGGGGCTGGGAGGGCTTTCTCCACCAGTACTTCAGTTCTTGGGAGAGGGGAGTGCAGCCTCCCCTCTTCCTGCCCGGTGCTGCCCAGGAGCCAGCCGGACTGGGCTTGCCCCTAGGCTGGCTCTTCCTATTTCTTCTGTCTGTTGGGCTGAGGGACGTGATCTGTTCACCGTGGCGGCCCCGGGCACGGCAAGGGACAGGGACCGGACTCGCCGAGTGTCTGTGGCTGTGTGGAGGGGAGTCAGATGTGGCTGCTGGCCGTGCCCTACACCCTAGGTTCACCCACGCTGCATCGTGGTCACCAGTTGTGAGCGCCAGTATCGCTCTCTCCCGAGTTTGTAGCCTGCAGTGTCTCGTGCTGACAGGCGCAGGCAGGAGACTAAGTGTGACGAGGGACAAGTGCTCGTGAGTGGTTCAGTGGTTACCACCATGGGGCACCACGTGTGCCAGGCACAGCGGAGCAGTCAGCGCTGCTGGCTGGACGGGCCTGATGCTGTAGGGTGCCCTCTTGGCCGCCGCCAATGCTCGTGTCCTGGTTTGTGCTCTGAGGGGAAGTGAGGGCTGGAATTCCAGGGTGGTGCCTCTTAGGAGCTAAACCTTTCAATTCCCTTCTGGCTCTATGTCTGGTTTAGTGTGCATGGATTTGGGGGCCAGGATGGAAAAACCTGGGCTCTGGATTTGCCTTTGACCTATGAGGACAAGTGGGTCATGTGCTCAGGGCTTCGCTAGGAGTGTGGCTGTGAGGAGTCACCAAGAGCTTTGATGAGAATAAAATCCAGGCCTGGTGTTGCCCCTAGGGCCCTGCTCTGGTTGGCCACCCTAGTGCCTCTCTGCCTGTTCTTCTGTGCCACCTCCTGGATTGGTAGCCGCCCCTGACTGTGCTCCCTTGGCAGACCGTCCTCCCTCAGACAGCCAGATGTCTGAGTGTTCCTCTGCTCCTGCCGTTCTCTGCCCAGATCCCTACAGGGCCATTGCTGAGACTTTACACCATATGGCCTTGACCCTGTAGCTCTCTTGGCCTTGAGTGCCATCCCTGACTCTGCTTGGGGCTTGCCTGCTTTGGGCTTGAGCTGTTCCTTCACTAACTTCTCTTGCCCCAGGGTGGTGCTTCTGCTATGAGCCCTGCAGGGCTGGGTTTTGTGTACACGTAGATGGCCCCATCGGCTCTACTGGCTGCCACACTGTGTGGCATGTAGTGGGTGTTCAGTGGATACCTGTTGACATCCGCACTTCTCCCCAGACATTTTTAAACTCGGGTTTATTTTGGCTGAAGGAACTGTTGGGATCCATTTGAAATCATCAGGTTTGCTCTTGCACTTCTTTTCGTGGCCCCTGTTCTCCCCAGCTGGGGTAATAGCAACATAGGTGGTGATTGACCACAGTCTGCTCCTTGAAGTGGCTGCTGCCCCTGGTAGGCTCCCAGCCATGGCCAGATCATAGGGTTAATGAAACCTAAGAAATGAAAATCTGCTTTTATACTGCAAATGTTGTCACTTCTGTGGGCAGCTACCTTAATAAATTGACATGTGATTCCCTTAGAAGCATGTCACACTTGTGTTTTGTCTCATCTTGGAAAGAGTCACAGCTCTGGGGTTTTCAGAGACTCACTTGGATACCATGTTGGACACTGGGCCACCACCTCATCAGTTTCAGGGGATAAGAGTAACTGCTTAAAGATGAGCAGGTGCATGTTGTTTTGAATGGAAATTATGCGCTTCAGCCTAATTAAAAATCAAGTTCTCAACAAAACAGAACAGAAATAGACAGAATGGACTCATGAATATAGAACAAACTGGTGCTTGCCAGAGGGGAGAGGATGGGGGATGAGTGAAATAGGAGAAGGGGCATAAGAACACAAACTTCCAGTTATAAAATATGTAAGTCAAATGATAGAAAGTACAGCATGAAACATATAGCTGATGATACAGCAGTCCCATTGGGTGGTGACTGCACTTACTTTGGGGGTACTGAGCATGTACACAGTTGAATCAGTGTGGTGCACCTGAAACTAACACAACCTTGCGTGTCAGTTGTACTTGAGATTAAAAAAGAATCAGACTCTCTTTCCTGGGCAAATCATCAAAGATGCTTGAATTCAAATTATTTTTGGTTATTGGGAGCAGATTCTGAGTATTTACTGGGAAGTTTTTGCTGGAGCCATATTAGGTTTTCTGCATTCACCAGATGTAAACTTTAAACCTTTCCTTTGAGGAATTCTCTAACTATAAATCCTTAACTCACAGTGGAAATTCGACTCTAAGAAAATACTTTTCCTTACTGAACCTAATCAATATGCTACATATATTTAAATTTTATTTAGGCAATAAAATGTTATAAAAAGTAATGCTATTTACTGTTGCTTCTTTATCCTTTTCTTATCTCAGCAGTTATGCTAATTATAGGTTAATTGGTCAGCTTGATTTGTCTTTGTCTCCATCTGCAATATAAATTTTTATTCACGATTCACTTTGTTTAAAAAGGAGTTGAGGGTAGAAACAGAGGAAAGTCGATAGGACATGAGGCATGGGTCGGGGTCAGATTGGTTTGTTCTTATGACCTCAGTTTTGGTGCTTAGCTTTCTAGGAGGTGGCTGGAGCTTACACACAACAGCCCCAGTAGTTGGGGAGATGCTGGTCTCACCGGTTGTGGATGGGTCACAGCTAGGGCGTCTGCTCGCGGTGGGATCCCACCATAGTCACCCACATAGGTGGCAATGGAAGGAGGCTGAGGATACTGCTCTGGAGAGCACCGGGCCACTCTGTGGTATGAACTTCATGCCTGGCATTTTCACCTGGGGTTTTGGGTGCTGTCTCAAAGACTCCCTTTCATCACTCAGGAGGATATAAGGGTGATATGGATAACTTAAGGTTACCTGTTTTCTTCGGTGAAAATGATTCACCCATTAGTTTCTCCATGATGACTACTGGTGGGTGATTTCCAACCTTCCTCTGGGGACAGTGATGGCCCAGGGAGTGTCTGAAACCCATGCTTGAGACAAGTGGAGAACAGCTAGTTTGCATGGCTTCAGGTGGCCTCAGATACCTTCCCCACAACCAGGCCTTTTGTGGGAGTGAGACGCAGTGGGCTGGAGACCCTGTGTCTTTGATGCCCTCTCTGGTTCTTGGGAGGGGGTAGAGAAGTAGGGACTATTCTTGGACCATCCAGGAACAGGTGAGCACTGAAACAGCCCATGGTGGCCAGAATACTTAAAAAAAAAAAAAAAAAAAAAAAAAAAAAAAAAAAAAAAAAGTGCCAGTGACCTGTTGGATGATCTTGTGTGGTCCAACATTCATATGATTGGAGTCTCACAGAATGGGGTGGGAGGGAGGCAGAAAAACATCTGAGTAATCATGGCTGAAATTTTTCCAGATATGGAATATATAAACCCATAGATCTGTGATGCTCAGCAGACACAGAACAATCACACAGACGAAACATGCCAAAACCAAAACCTCCTCCAGAGCACATCATGAGTTGATGAAAACCAGTGATGAATAAAGGCTTAAAAGCAATCAAAAACAGACATGTTATATACAGGTGAACAAAGGGAAGGACAGCTGACTTTTCATCAGGTAAAATGCAAACCAGAAGGCAGTGCTGCATGACGTCTTTATAAAGTATTAAAAGGGAAAAACTGGTCAGCTTAAAATTCTCTATTCACAGAAAATGAAAGTGAAGGCAAAGTAGACCCTTGCCGGACAAACCAAAACTGAAGGAATTCTCCAGCAGCCTTGCCCTACAAGAAACGTTGTTTGGGCCCAAGGATAGTGACAACCAGGTGGAAACTGATCTGCACCAAAGAATGAGGGCCAGAAATGTTACGTGTAGAAGGCTTTTTCCCCTTTGTTAAAAACAAGCATACAAACAAAAACCTCTTTAAAATAGAATTAACTTTTAAAGGCAAAAACAAGAATGTGAACACGGACAAGAAATGTGCTGGAGGACAACGGCAGATGCTCAGATGCTGCCGAGAAGGCTCCCCTGTGTGTCAAGTGCTGCGTCCCCAAGTGACAGTATTTACCAGGACACAGATTGTTGTAAGTAAAAGGAACCTATTGTGAACCCAGAGTAAACCACTAAAAAAAAGAAAGGGGGTATAGCTAGACAACTGATAAAGGGGACAAAATAATCCCAAAGGAGACAGGAAGAAAGAACAGACAGGACGATAGAAAATGTGATAAACCTAACTCTTGTGGACTGGATTGTGTCTCCCAACATTCATTTGGAAGAAAAGGACCTAAATTTGAATATGGGGCCTTTCAGAAGATAATAAGGTTAAATGAAGTCACAGGGTGGCTCTGATCTGATAGGACTGGTGTCCTAAGAAGAGATGAGGGGACACACAGGAACGACCACGTGAGGACAGAACTCTGCCCACACCTGATGCTCAGGTTTTGTGCTTTCAGAACTGTAAGAAAATAAATTTCTGTTGTTAAAGCCACCCAGTCTGCTGTTTTGTTAGGTAGCCCTAGAAAACTGCCGCACCAACCATTTAAGTAATTTTACTAATTGAAGGGCCAAGTGCTCTAGTTAAAAGCAGAAACTGTCACATTGAATGAAAAAGCATGACTCGTGTGTTGTCCGTGAGAAATCTTAAATGCAAAAATACAGGATAAAAGGACTAGTTTAGAAAACTGTATGAAAAAACATTAATCATAAGGAAAAGTACTCTGTTAATATAAGGTAGGTTTCAGGAAAAGGAATGGTACTAGAAGCGAAGAGTCATTTAATAACAGTAATGCGTATGCCCTAATAACAGCTTCAGAATATGAAAAACGAAAATGGGCAGAGGGAGAGGGAATCCGATAAAGTGGGAGATTTTAACATTGTCTCAGCAGGAACAATCCTGAGTAGACAAAATCTTGAGCCAACTTGAAGTGATGGACATTTATGGAACACTTCACCTAACATTCTTTTTCAAGAGCTTATGACCCATCATTCACTAATACCACATGCGGGGTGAGGAAATTTGGAAGGATTGAAGCCATACAGTGTATTCTCCAACTGTAATGGAATGAAATTAAAAATCAGCGACAAAAAGAATACTTGGCAGGGGAGCTACCATTGCACTCCGAATGTGCTGACCCCTGCGATTTCCCCAAATGTAGGAAACTTGACTGCATAATTTGTGATGGGGGAAAAAAAGAGAAAATCCCAAATATCTGGAAATTAAGCATTATACTTCTAAATAGCCAATGATCAATAAATGAAAGTACAAGGGAAATAAAATATTTCAAGCTAAGTGAAAAAAATGACATCGAAATTTGTGGGATGTATCTAAAGCAGTGGTCATAGAAATGGTTACAGGCTGAAATATTAACACTATATAAGGTTTCAAATCTGTGATTTAAATGTCCACCTTAAGAATTTTAAAACCAGGGGCACCTGGGTGGCTCAGTCGGTTAAGCGTCCGACTTTGGCTCAGGTCATGATCTCCAGTTCATGGGTTTGAGCCCTGCGTCAGACTGTCTTGACAGCTCAGAGCCTGGAGCATGCTTCAGATTGTGCTTCCCTCTCTCTCTGCCCCTCCCCTGCTCATGCTCTCTCTCTCTCTCTCTCTGTGCCCCTCCCTGACTCACACTCTCTCTCTCTCTCTCAAAAATAAAAAAAATTAAAAAAAAATCTTAAAACCAGAGTAAGTAGAAGGAAGGAAATACCAGATAAAAGAGCACAAGTCAAATGCTGTAAGAAACATAACAGAGGAGATCAGTGAAGTTGATGCTTGGAGAAACTTAACAAGCCTCTGGTCTGATCCAGAAAGAAAGGACACCTACAGCAGGCATTAAAAAGGTGCATTGCCACAGGTCCCGCAGACAGCAGGCAGTATCCAGCCTGGTTACCCCCAGGCCTACTGACCTGGCGTGGTCTGCTTGAGCTCACCGTGCTGCTGCCTCTCTGCATCCCACTGCTCGCACTGCCTGGCTTGCTGTGCCTGGCTTGCTGATCCTTATGTCCTGCTGCACACACCTGCTGGCGCTGCTGCTCCACGTTCACGTTAGGTTTTCTGCTGTGGCCGTGCGGTCTGTCCTCAGAGGCATGAGACCACAGAGTACAATGAGAGAATGTCATGGGGTGCTCAGTGCCAGTGTTCCACAGCGCAGACACGGAAAAATCCCCTGAAAGACATGGTTATTATATAGGTGTTCCTGAGAAGAAGTGGGAAATTTAAATCACCCTGTATCTATTTTAGAAATTAATTTGAAATTTAAAACTTTCCTAGAAGAAAGCTCTAGTCTCAGATGGCTTCCTGGTGAGTTTTGTCAATCATTTAAGACAGAAATAACAATCTAACACAAATACCCAGACATTCAAGGAGGAGAGAACATTTTGCGACTCCTTTGAGAGGGTGTGACCTTGATAGAAAACCAGATCAAGACATTACTGGAAAAGGAAATACAGATCAACTTCCCCACACAAATACAGAAAATATTTAACAGACTACTAGCAAGTTGAACCCAGTGATAAAAGAATGGTGCATCATGATCAGAAAATTGGCAGAGGGTGATGGTCCTGTGGCTGGAGGGGATATGATTTCCATAGGGTTTTCTAGGGGTTGTAAGAAATGGCATTTTAAATGCCATGGTGTAGGGGGGATGCTTTCATGTCCCAGGGCCTTGCTCTTAGGGGTTTCGAGGGGAGACATCCATCCTCCGTCCTGGGAGCTCCTGCACACCCTTGCTTAGTGGGCACTACCCATGTCCCCGCTGTCCTTGTCTGATGTGAGAGGCTGTGGGTCCAGACACTGGGCCTGTTTCAGGTTGCATGAGGTACGTTTGGGACTTAGAAATCCTCTTTCCCAGGGGTGCCTGGGTTAAGCGTCTGGCTTTGGCTCATGATCTCACGGTTTGTGAGTTTGAGCCCTGCATCACACTCTGTGCTGACAGTTCAGAGCCTGGAGCCTGCTTTGGATTCTGTGTCTCCCTCTCTCTCTCTGCCCTTCTACTACTCACACTCTCTTTCTCTCAAAAATAAATAAGCATTTAAAAATTTAAAAAAGAAAAAAAAATCTTTTCCACAAAACCCGACTCAAGGCTTTCTCTCCTTGAAGGAACCTTATGCTAACTTGGCAGTCTGGGGAAAATAATGGCTTTGTTCTACCTGTACCCCGAGTGCCCTTGATGTGGCATGGGGAACCCTGGATGTTGGGGCTGAAGGATGGAGGATATGCTGGTTCCTTGTTTGGACTCTATCCCTTCCCAAGAGGATCAGGACATGACCTCTCCGGTGCCTCAACGGCTGCCAAGAAGCACAACCAAGAACTCCAGAGCCAGGAAACAGTGCTGAGTGCATTTATTGCCCTCAGTAGTTAGTTGGAAGAGCGGGTGTTGGGGTGGCTTTGTGGTGGTCCCACTACCCGAGGACCAAAATCTGCACCCTGGCAGGACTCCACAAGCACAGGTCTGTGTGTGATTGGTCCGCACAGCCCTTGTGCCCGGTCGAGGGGAGTCTTCAGTTAGGTCCAGTAACAGTCAGTGTTCCGGTCGCTCAGGGCTCACAGTCCAGCCCTTCTTACGAGGGAAGTGTGGTCAGCAGGCTGCCTCCAACTGCCAGCCCCTTCAGATCAGAGCCCTCCTGGAGTCCACGGGGCTTGTGGGCTGTTGGGGGCACCCGAGCTCCCCTCCCTCTGCCCCACTGCCCCTTTTTCTTAAAGTGTGTGTCCCAGGTGCGCACCCTAATACGTGTCTGCACACCAGACACCGGCCTCGGTTCTGGGGGATCCCGCTTACCCCCCAGAATGGGGAGCCACTCATGGGCAGAGACACCATGAGTCAGGTGGAGTAAAGGCAGAATCCCCCTGAGGTCTGCACATGCCACACGGTGTGGATGGCCTGATGCTCCCCTCAGCCCAGTGCTCTGGCTGTTGCTAGAAGGTGCCGGAACATTCCTCTCTTGAGCTGGCTGCCCTCCCCTCAAGACCCGTCCTCATTCCTCCTGTCCGTTCCCTGTGTTCTCGGCACTCACTCTTGGTGGGAGGTGTCGCTCTGTGGGCACCGGCACAGGCGAGGTCTGTGGGTGCAGCAGGTGGGACGGGCAACGGCCGGGGTGGCACTGGCTCTTTAAGGGCGACATCACAAGGCTGCGGAAGGCCAGGCAGTGGTGGAACTCCAGGGCTGTTTCTGGAGCGTCTACGGCACTGGATTTCCACCTCCATGGGGCTGCAAGCCCATACGTGAGCACCTAAAGACGTGGCCATGGCCGAGGGGAGTGAGCTGATGAACAGGCTCATGAGTGAGAATGCAGACCTGAAGAAGCAGGTGCGCCTCATGAAGGAGAACCAGATGCTGAAGCGTCTGCTCAGCGAGAGCTGCCAGGAGCGCTGTAGCCTTGGGAGCCGGGACCTGCTCTTCCCCAAGGCACCCGCCTACCCCGAGGACAGCTCCCCCGGGAGCGCAGGTGAGGCTACAGGCAGGACAGCAGGGCCCAGCTGGCTGCTGGGGTCCAGGAGCCGTGGTGAGGCCGTTGTGCCCCGGCAGGGGCCTTGTTCGGTGATGCCGGTGGTCTCGGGCCCCTTCCCATCCCTGAGGTCTGAGTAAACCAAGACCCAGTTCCCCATTCTCCTGTGTGTCCTCAGGTAAGGACCTCTGGGCCACGAAGCCACATCTAGAAAATGGGGTGGGGGTTAGCCCCCCACCTCACTAGCGGCTACTCACCAGCCCCCTGCACAGAGCTCATGGATGCAAAGCCCCTTGGGCAAACATGTCCTTGGGGTCCTTCAGCCTCAAGGAGGACCTTGAAGAGGGAGCTTGGACAAGCAGAGGGTGGGGGTGGAGGATGGCAGAAAGAGGACAATGACGCCCCAAGGGGCAGCTGGAGAAAACCCTATCCCCACCGGTTCTGAATTCCCACCAGAGGCCAAGGCACATGCTTGTCACCAGAAACTTGCTGAAGAGGGACTGACCTCCCAGGACTTGTCACCTGTGTGACATCCCACAGAGGGTCAGTGCTGCCTTCTTGGGCCACCAGGGATGCATTGTGCAGTGGCTGCAAAAGGCACTTGTCACCAAGCCTCATAGGTGCTGTGATTACTGCCAAGAATCAAACCCAGTGTGACTTCATTGTCCTTTGTCCTGAGAACTGGGTCAGGCTGGGGCCACCTCTGAGGGCTCAGAGCCACCCTGTGTCAGTACTGGCAGGAATGCTGGGGCCCTCCCTCTCTCACCTTCCCTCCCATGCCTGGTTAGTAGAGGTGCGGACTCACAAGGGTCGGGCTGCTCCTGGAGAGACCCTGGTCAGGGCCTAGGTCAGGGCAGAGTCTCTGGGACCACAACCAGCACCCCTGCCTGTGGGTCACCCCTAGCAATCCCAGACTTTTGCTAGACACCAGTCTTAGCAGGAGCTCCAGTCCCCTGGGCCAGCCCAACACCACCAAGCCTTCCACACGGAGGCCTGGAGCCCTTGCTGCAGGGCGTGGGCCAACGTCAGCATGGCTGATCATCCTCAGGGAGGGGCCACCCCCATGCCCGGGGCTCTGGGACACTGCCTTCGGGCCTGGCCACAACCCTCAGCCTTCTTTGGGGACTGGAGTTTGGAACGACTCTTAACACAGCAGCAGACATTTGTGAACAGAAGGGAACTGCCACCAGCAATGGCTCATGTTTCCCACGGGCCCTTAACATCTGCCTTCAACGCAGGATGTGCTTTAAAAACCTGCTTTCTTATTCAACAACAGGAGCTCCTGGCAAACTTATAAATACCCCAAGAGGATGTAACCTACAAGGCCAAGCTCGTGCTCCTGGCTCTGCTCCCAAAGGGAGCCACTGTCAACATTTTCTTGGGTTTCTGTCTGAAATTTGTGGTGGATATTCATGTGCACATCGGGGGATCTTCTGGGTTCCCCTAAACACGGTTGAACTGTTCTATACTTTGCCCCTTCCGTCCACCTTACTTTTGTCACCTGGAGGTCCTCTTTTCTAGATCCAGGGCCTGCACTCCAGCGCTGGAGCGACTCTCGGGGTGGAGGGCAGGGGTTCCCCACAACAGCAGCCCGGCGCCAGGCCAGGCGGTGCCCTCCAGCCCCCTGCCACCTGCCATTGGGGTAACGGCCGGGAAATCCTTGGGTCAAAGGCCCTGTGCTGTTGAAATAGATGCTGCTGTGTCCTCTGCACCCTTCCAGTGCCCTCCTGACCCACAGGACCACGCACAGTGGCTAGGCTCGCACACCAGCCTCTTCCTCAGCTGCCTGTGTGCCCTGTGTGCTACACTTGTTAGTTTGGTCTGTTTTCTGAGTCTACAACCGCACTGCGTGCAAATGATTTAAATGAGATCGACAGTGTGTATACTTGTTAATTTTGCCTTTGTCTTTGCCCTTGGTATTCCCAGAACCCTGGCTCTGGTGGCAGTTGGGCCTGGGGGTGGAGGGGCATGCAGGCTAGGTGCTGGGAGGACCCTTCTAGTCCTTCTTTTTAAAGAACAAGAAAAATTGAGAAACAGCTTGTTTTGTTCAGTTTCCATGACCTTGTTTGGCCTTGGTAGGGTGCCCTCAGCTCCTGCCCTTGGCCTGCTCCATCGGGAGGCCCCAGGCTCCTGTTGTCTGTCCTGGTGTTCGCTAGGATGGGTCTTTGCTCAGGATCTGGGGACTCTGTTCCTACCTGGATCTGGGCTTTGGTCTTCTTTCTGTGGGATCTCTGTTTGGGGATTTGATACCAGACTTGTGACCAGTTATAATCTCAATCAAGAAGCATCTTTTAATTTTTTTCAGTGTTCTAACCTTATTTATGTAATATAGGGATTCAGAATCATTTGGAGCCTGAAAGAATTTACCACTAGGCCCCCAGGCCTGCAGCCCTCAGAGCATAATTGTTTTATAATAACTTCTAGATTTTTCTTCTTTGCTTACTGGTCCATTTAGTTTTTCTACTTCTTACTGAGTCATTTAAAAATAATTTCCCGCAAGAGTTCTCCTGTTACTGAAATCTTAGTGACGATGCAGTTGTGTATAATGGTTGCTTGTAACTCAGACCTCTTCCTGGTCTTTCTTATGTTGCTTTTCTCATTTCCAATTTTATTTCTTCATGTTTTCTGTTTCCCTAAGGTAGTTTTCCACAGTTTCATGGTCTTGTAGACTTTCACAGAACTGTCTGCGGTGTATTTCGCGGTCGTGTTCATTGTTTTCTTAAGAGCTCCTCTTCATATCTTGATTTGAATGTTTAATTTTGAGATGATTTTTATTTATTTATTTATTTATTTATTTATTTATTTATTTATTTATTAATTTTTTAACGTTTATTTATTTTTGAGACAGAGAGAGACAGAGCATGAACGGGGGAGGGTCAGAGAGAGAGAGGGAGACACAGAATCTGAAACAGGCTCCAGGCTCTGAGCTGTCAGCACAGAGCCCGACACGGGGCTCGAACTCACGGACCGCGAGATCATGACCTGAGCCGAAGTCGGAGGCTTAACCGACTGAGCCACCCAGGCGCCCCGAGATGATTTTTAAAAAGTAATTGAAGCATTTAAATTACTAATTTCAATCCAAATACAGTCTTAAACGTACTGATGTCTTAATATATAATGTTCTGATTTTCATTATCAATAATGATTGTTTTTTATTATTATTTCTTCCTCGATGTGATCGTTACTTGGGAGAATGCTTTTACTTCTGAGGAAATGCAATTTTCTCCTGGCCACATGAGCAACAGGAGGCAAGACACATCCTAATGGATGTCTTTTTTTGAACATTTTTTTCTGAGAAATCATTGCTGGAGATAGATCAGTTGGTTCCTGAGGAGGCACCTTTTAGGATATAATTTTTCATGATAGCTCTTAAAACACACTATTTCTCAAGTATGTATTTACCTTATTGCCAGGAGAACAAGATTATAACATGAGGGTAAGAAAGGATTTTATAAATCAAAAAGAATCGATAAGTTAAAGTTGACTACATTATAATTTAAAACTTCTGCATGAGAGTCAGTATAAAAGAGATTCAGACCTAAGCAAGGCACCCACCGGAAGACACAACACTTTTCATCAACAAGGAATTAGTATGCAGGAGACAAAAAAAGCTGCTACAAATAATTTTAAAGACTACCCCTCCCCCCCAAAAAACAAGCAGAGAAAAGGCAAAGAAAATTCACGGAAAGGAAACCTGAGGGGCCGATGAGCACATGAAATGATGTTCACTATCACTGGGGATTAGGGAAAAGCCATGTGTTGTTTTCTGCCGGGGGACCACTGATGTAGAATACAGAGGAGGTTAAACAGCACACACCTGAGCCCAGTGTAGACAGTATAAACAGCACACACCTTGCCCACTGTGAGCAAGGAGGCACATTAAGGAATGCTGATTATAGCTTTGCTTTTTCAAGGAAAACAGGAATCATCCCCATGCTTATCAACAGGGCAGTGGATATGAAAATTGCTGTGTGTGTGTGTGTGTGTGTGTGTGCGTGTGTGCACGCGCACGTGCACGCTCACATGCGTGCATGCATGCATGCCCATGTGTGCCAAAAAATGGTTAAATGTATCAGGTAAGCTACCCAATGATTCAATATGGATGAATTCCCAAAAAAATGCTGCAGCAAAAAGGTATTTTGCAGGATAAAACATGTATAGGATGATATCATTTATGTACATTTAAAAGCATAAGCAAGTCCCTCTGTATTGTGTGTGGGTTCCCAGGTGGGTGGGAAGCGCACGGGGGCACGTGTGCTTGCCATGCCCATAAACTTGAGGCTGGTGGTTTCCTCAGGTGGGCTGGGCACCCACAGTGTCACATTCTCTAGAGGGAGGAGGAGGGCTCTGAAACACGGGGTGGGGTGTCACAGATTGAGGCTGGGTATGTGGATGTTCTTCTGTATTCTCTCCCTCCTTAGGGATGTCTCAGGAACACAGCCTGACCTGCCCTCCCTCCCCATCCCAGGTGCAGACTTTGGAAGGTTCAGTGGCGTCCCTGATGCACCCTCCCAGCTGCAGACGTCCTCCCTGGAGGACCTGCTGTGCTCACATGCCCCCATCTCCAGTGAGGATGACGCCTCCCCTGGCTGTGCCACCTCCTCCCAGGTGCCCTTCAAGGCTTTCCTCAGCCCCCCAGAGCTGCGTGCACCCCGAGGCACTGACAGGAAGCTGTCCCCGCTCCTGAACCCCTTGCAGGACCCGCTGGCAGACAAGACCCTGCTGGAGCCCAGGGAGATGGTCCGGCCCAAGAAAGTGTGCTTCTCAGAGAGCAGCCTGCCGTCTGGGGACAGGACGAGAAGGAGCTACTACCTTAACGGTATGGCCCAGGCAGGGGCGGGCACCAGGGTGCAGTAGTCTGGGTGACCAGCTGGGCACAGCTTCTCCATTTTCCTGCAGAGGGAGGAGAGTGTGGCTGGGAGGCCAGGGTCTGGGGCTGTTTCTGTGGACATTTTTTGCCTATTAAAAAAAATGGACTTGCTTATCTTATGATCGAGTTGTCAGAGTTCTACATATATTCTGGATACAAATCCTTTTCTGGGTGTGTGTCTTGCAAATGTTGTCTCCCACTCTCTGGCCTTTCAGTTGCATAAGTGTTCTTTAAAGAGCAAAACTGTTTAATTTGATAAAGTCCAGTTTATTGATTTTTTTTTTGTTTTATACAATTCATGTTTTTTGTGTCCTATTTAAGAAATCTTTGTCAAACTCATGGTCACAAAGATTGTTTCCTATGTGTTCTTCTAGAAGTATTATGGCTTTAGATTTTACATTTAGGTTTCTGATCAATTTCAAGTCAATTTTTGTGCATGGTATGAGATTTGCATTTGTTGGCTTCTTCCAACACCAGTGTTTAGAAAGATTATTTTTTCTTCATTGAATTGCCTTGACCCTTTTGTCAAAAATCAACTGTTCATATATGTATAAGTTTATCTCTGGACACCTTCCCCCCGCCATGCTGTGTTATTTGTCTGTGTTGATTCCAGTACATATGGTCTCTATTACTGTAGCTTTAAAGTAAGATCGTCATTCATATAATGTCTTGTTCTCCATTTTCAAAGTTGCCCTGGCTATTGTAGGTCCTTTGCATTTCCACATGAGTTTTAGAATCAACTTGTCCAACTTCGCACAAAAGCTTGCAAGGAGTTTGATTGGGATTGCTCTGGATCTACAGATTGATTAGGTCAGTTTTCAGGGAAATTAACAATTTATTAATAATAATATTCAGCCTTTGGGTCCGTAAATGCTGTGTGTCTCTCCATTTATGTAGTTCTTTAAACATTTCTTTCAACAGTGTTTATAGTCTTCTATGTATAGATCTTGCACATTTTGATAAATTAATTCTTTGTATTTTTGCATTTTTGATACTATAGGAAATAGTATTGCCTTTATCATTATCAATTTCTGATTGCTCATTTCTAGTATATAGTAACACAGTTGATTTTTGTGTATTTACTCCTGTGATCCTTAATTTTATTTGTCGACTTGACTGGGCCATGAAAAGAACTACCCAGATAATTGGTCAAACATTCTGGGTGTTTCTGTGAGAGTGTTTCTGGATGAGTTGAACATTTAATAGACTGAGTAAGCACATTGCCCTCTCAGTGTGGGTGGGCTTCATCCCATCACTTCAAGGCCTGAATAGGACAAAAAGGTTGATCCTACCCCAAGGAAGAGAAAATTCCTCCTGCCTGGTTGCCTTTGGACCTGAAACATGCCTTGAACTGAAACATGTTCTTGAGTTTCAAGCCTGCAGTGCTCTGGACTGAAACCACACCATTGGTTCTCTTGGTTCTCAGACCTTTAAAGGCAGGCTAGAACAACATTTTCAGTCTCCCTGGATCTCTGGCTTGCTAACTCACCTTGCAGATCTTGAGACTTGTTAGTCTCCATAATCATGTGGGCCAATTTCCTACACACACACGCGCACACACACACGCACACACACACACACACACACACACACACACACACACACACACACACACACCCTGTTGGTTCTGTTTCTATTTCTCTGGAGAACCCTGAAAAATAAAAATGTTGTATCTTGCAACCTTACTGAACTCACTTATTTTTTAAAATGTTTTTATTTATTATTTTTGAGGCAGAGTGTCAGGGAGCAGGGAGAAGAGGGAGGCAGACAGAGAATCTGTGCTGTCAGTGCAGAGCCCAATATTGGGCATGAATCATGAAATGTGAGATCATGACCTGAGTTGAAGTCAGAGGCTTAATCTATTGAGCCATCCAGGCGCCTCCTGAACTCATTTGTTCTAGTAGATTTCTTTAAGTTTATTTATTTTGAGAGAGACAGAGCTTACAAATTTGGGAGGGGCAGAGAAAGAGAGAGAGAGAGAGAGAGAGAGAGAGAGAGAGAATCCCAAGCAGGCTCCACACTGCCAGTGCAGAGCTTGATGCGGAGCCTGAACTCACAAGCCAGCAGATCATGACCTGTGCCAAAGTTGGACGCTAACTGACTGAGTCACCCAGGCACCACTGTTCTAGTAGCTTTTTGTAGATTCCTTAGGATATATGATTGTGTCATTTGCAAATAAAGACAAATTTATTTTTTCATTTCTAGTTTGTATTCCTTTTATTTTTCTTATCTTCTTGCATTGGCAAGAAATGGTGACAGTGGACTTTTTCTTTTTTATCTTTTCCTAATTTAGGAAGCATTCAGTCTGTTATTGTTAAGTATGATGTTAGCTCAGGTCTTTGTAGATGACTTTTATCAGGTTGAGGAAGTTCCCTTTAATTCCTAGTTTTCTTATAATGAATGGATATTGGATTTTGTGAAATGCTTTTTCTGCATCTACTGAGATGAACATTTGGTTTTTATTTGTAGTCTGTTTCAGCTAATATGGTTAATTACATTGATTGATTTTTGAATTGTAAACCAACCTCACATTCCTGAGATAAACCTTACTTGGTTGTGACGTATTATACTTTTTTGTATTGTTGGATTTAATTTCCTAAATTTTGTTGAGAATTTTTGCTGTCTATGATATTGGTCTATAGTTTTCTTTTCATGTCATTTTCTGGTTTTGGTACCAGGTTAATGTTGACTTCGATGAATGAGGTGGAAAGTACTCCATTCTCTTTAACTATGTAGAGGAGTTTATGTAGAATTGGTATCATTTATTCCTTAGATGTTTGGTACAAGTCACCACTGAATCCACCCAAGTCTTTAATTTTCTTTGTAGGAATATTTCCCCTGCCACAAGTTCAGTTTCCTTGTCGATATACAGCTATTCAAATGATCTATTTCTTCTTAGGGAGCTTTGGCAATTCACTCGCGATAGTGAGCTTTTGTGTTTTTTAAGGAATTAATCCATTTCATCTAAGCTGTCAAATTTATTAGCATAAAATTGTTTCTAGTATTCCATTATTATCCTTTTAACATCTGTAGGATCTGCGGTGAGACCATCTCTAATTTCTGATAGTGGTAATTTTTGTCCTCTTTCTCTTTTCCCCTAATATGTCTGGCTACAGGTTTATCAATATTGTTGACTTTTTTCTGTGAAGAATAGATTTTGGCTGAATCTTGGAAGGCCAAGGTTGGACTAGAAATGATTGCTAGAACATCTCAGGTATATATCACTTCTTCCATCCAATTTATGCTTTAAAGACAGAACAGGATGGTAAGAGAGACTGATTCCTGATTAGAGAAGTGTATGAATATAGAAGGGGAAATTTGCACTCTGAGCTTCATGGCCCTCATCTGCCCTGACAAACTGCTGTGCAGTCAATCTGGTTTTCAGCTCGAACTCTTGGGTACTTATGCAGCCTCGCAAAGTGATTAGGGAAGGAGAACACTAAAGACTACAGTGCACTGTGGCAATAAAATAAAGAAGGCCTGAATAAGTGGAAAAACATCTCATGTTCGGGGACCAGAAGGCTTTACATCATTACGATGGCAGCACTCCCCAAGTTGACCTGCAGATTCAATGTGATTCCCATCACAATCCCAGCTGGCTTCCCTGCATAAATTGACAAACTCCTCCTGAAATTCAGGTGGAAATGTAAGGGACCCAGAACAGGCAACACAATCTTGAGAAAGGAGAGCAAAATTGGAGGACCTACACTTCGCAATTCCAAAACTTACTGTAAAGCTACAGGAATCCAGGCAGTGTGGTGGTCATAAGACAGACGTACAGAGATCAGCAAAGTAGAATTGAGGTTCCAGAAATAAGCCCAGGCATTTACAGGTTTAATGTGCAACATGGACACCAAGACTTGTGTCAGCAGAGAGAGACTTGTCTTTGCAACAAATGATGTTGGGACAAGTGGACAAACATGTACAAGAATGAGCTGGACCTCACACCCCATGTGAAAATTAACTCAAAATGTATCAAAGACCTAAAAAAATCTAAAAGAGCTAAAGCCATATAACACTTAGAAGAAAACACAGAGAAAAATCTCATGACCTCGGATTTGGCAATAGATTTTCAGATGTGACACCAAAAGCATTAGCAACAAAAGGAAAAGTTTATGTATTGGGTTGTATCAAAAGTAAAAATTTTTGTATTTATTGATTTTTTATTTTAGAAAGAGAGAAAGTCCATGAACAGGGGAGAGGGGCGGAAGGAGAATCTTTTTTTTTTTTTTAATGTTTATTTATTTTTGAGAGAGGTAGTGAACGAGCAGGGGAGGAGCAGAGGGAGAGGGAGAGGGACAGAGGATCTGAAGCAGTCTCTGAGCTGTTAGCACAGAGCCCGACACGGGGCTCAAACTCATGAACCATGAGATCATGACTTAAGCTGAATTTGAATGCTCAACCAACTGAGCCACCCAGGCGCCCCAAAACTTTTGTATTTCAGAGGAACACATTTCAAGAAAGTGAACTGAGCCTACAGAGTGGGAGAAAATATTTGTCAATCAGATGATAAGGGGCTAGTATCCAGGATATATAAGAACTCTCTACAACTCCACAGTAAAAAGACAATCTAATTAAAAATGGGCAAAACACAATGAATATTTCCCCAAAGAAGACGTATAGATGACAAATAAGCACATGAAAAGTTGCTCCAAATCCTCAGTCATCAGCCAAATACTGATGAAACCACAATGAGAAACCACTTCACGTCTACTAGGATGGCTATAAAAAATGAGGGACCGGCACAAGTGTTGGAGAGGATGGGGAGACAATCGGAACCCATGTACATTGTCGCTGTGGAAAGCAGTTTGGCATTTCATCAAAAGTTACACATAGAATTACCAATGATTCCATTCCTGGGTATATGTATCTAAAAGAACTGAAAACATTTGTCCACACAAAATTAAAAAAAATTTTTTTTTGATGTTTTTATTTATTTTTGAGACAGAGACAAAGCACGAACTGGGGAGGGGCAGAGAGAGAGGGA